CCGCTAGCGCCAGGCCAGTGACCCCGCGTCCCGGGGCGCTGCTCGGCTGCGCCGCGCGGGTGACACCGCGCTCCGGGAGGGACGGGCGCGCGCGCGCTGGAGCAGCGGTCTGCAGAGCCGGCCGGGAAGCGACTCGCTGATCCCGGGAGAGCCGCTTCTGCTGGGACGCGCCCCGGCCACGCGCTGTGGTCTCGATTTGTTAGTTTCCTTTTTCTTGGCCATCAGCTCCGTTTTTGTCTCTGGCTGTCTCCTGCCGGCTGAGCAGAAGGGTGATGAAAGGGCAGTAAATGATAATCCTAAAAGTGACCTGGTTTTAAAATCCAGTTATCTGTTATGAAAACAAAACATTCAAAAGAAGAGTACTTGGAATCCAGTTTCCCTGTGCTTCAGCTCTTGCTGAGGGTACAAGTGAAATAAAGTTAAAAATTACATTTCAATTTGGTCCAAAGCTGTTGCAAATTAAAATACTATTTGGTATAGTATAAGCGTTTGTATTTTGTAATTGACAAGGAGTCAAATGTTTGTGATTAAGGTTTTTGTCACATAGTGTTCCGGACAATTTAAGTGTAAAATACTAAAACAAAAACTGATGTGTCTATAGCCATCTACTCTCACTTACAGGAAATAACTTTGACTAGTGGAAGCAGCCCAGCACATAATCAGATGTACCTTTGTCTTCTTAACATAACATTTTCATTACCTCTCAAATAGCTTATCCCCCCACCCCCGCGTCCAGGAACTGAGAACCACTCAGTATTTAAAAGCTCATATAAGTACATATTTTCAGTCGAAATTACAACCTTTGACTATCGTGATTGTTTCAGTACGTAATAATACATTTGCTAAAATGCTATAAATCTCAGATAAATTTTGTTAAAGTCCAACAAATCTGCTTAACTCTGAAACCAGTTTAATCAAAAGAATAAGATCTTTAGAAGAGTAGTTGTCCAAAAAAGCGATGACATACATCAAATTGGAAATGTGTTTTATTGTATGATATACTAATGCATTCTCATAGTAAGAATCATATTTTTGATACTTTGCATATTTAAATTTATTGCATGATTTTTTTTTGTTGGCATAAAGTGCAGGGTAATTATTTTTAGAATCAATTCAGAGTTTAAAATACACCATGTAGAGAATTATGAGCACAATAAAATGTTTAGAACTAAAAACATGAAAGCTAGTCCATAAGTAACTAAAAATATATATCTTGTGGCTAATCTAATAGACGATTTGTTTTACCATGTTAATGTGGTTTGAGATAGCTTTTAACATTTCTGTATTCACTTTGACATGAGAGAAAGCAGTATGTGCAGAAAGTTTTTAAAATTATTTTCCAGTTCTCAAGTGGCAGCAGAAAATAGCACTGGCAGGATATCACAACTTATTGCGTGGCTGAAGAGTAGGGTGGGAAGCAAGTCTTCTGCTCATGCTCTTATAGTTGACAAAGTTTGGGGAGCCTAACAGTTTACACAAGCATAATATATAATCACTATATAACCAACATCATGGATCAGTGTTTCTCTCATTTTTGTGTTATTCTTTCAGCTAAAATTGGTTTTAATATTTTGATTAAATTATAATGATTATAATGCTGACATTTTAACATCTTTTCTCCTTCAAAATTTGGAATATATTTAAATAAGGTTTATTTATGGAACCATTCGTTTATGGTAGTAAATGAATGGGAGTAAATGACTCAAGTCACTAAATGATAATAGTGCACAAATTAGATTCATCTCTAAAATATTTATAGATGTGTTTAAATTTTTCATGTAACATTTGAAACTAAAACTTTCTTTTTTAGTACTACTGCTGGATTCTAAAGCACAACAGACAGAATTGGAATGGATTTCCTCTCCACCCAATGGGGTATGTAGTACTTCTCATAAAATATCTCACTGTTTATTTTTCAAAGTTAGGAAAAAACCCTCACACCAGGGTAATTGTTCACATTCTTACATTTAGACCTTTAGTTCTGGGTATGTTGTTCAGGATTTTGTTGTGTTGTGAGATATTTAGTTCTTAAGAGTATAGAAGGAATAGTTAGAATTTGGGGAAATGGGAAAAAAATATTCCCACAACTGTAATGTTTTTTGAGTTCTGATTGTGAGTGAAATAAATGCTGTCTACAGGAAACAATCCCTTTGCAAACTCACTTAAAAACTCTTTAGTTGCTTTATACTTCTGTGGTATAATCATCAGGCAGGTTGTGTGTAATTTTTAAAACAGTGTATAATCAATTTCCTTTCAAAACTAGTTTTAATATCGTTTAGCATATACTCCATAAGACAACTAAAAAATGTGATATGTTCAACTGTGTTGCACACAGTTTGCTGTGAGATATTATTTATAATGTCTGAATTTATATCGTATGGTACCTGCTGTTATTAATCAGAAGTGATGGCAGAATATGCTCACATTAGAGTAGAAACTTGCTGTGTTAAGTAGGTGAAAATTGCCCAATGAAAATTTGACAAATTATAAATGAATTCTAAAAACTGTTGACCATTATTTTATATACTCATAAAGATATATATATATATATATATATAAAGATATATATATATATATTATATATATATATATATAATTTAGTTCAATATCCATGTGTTTGAGTATTAATTTTAATTCAGGGGCAGGAGAGTTTTTTTGTTGTTGTTCATTATTAAGGGAGAGGGCTCTGAGAAAGGAGAACAGATCCTATTTTTACTTAAATTTGTTTTCACATGTGGAAATCTGAGGTCAAAAGAACTTGATGTGTAAGCAAGGATATAAGACTTCTCACAGGTTTTGCAAACAGAAAAACTGAACTCTGAAAGGGATTTTAGAGTACAAAGACAACATCATAAAATCTCTGTATCATATGCTGAAAGGCAGTATAAGAAGACAAAATGTGAACAAGAACAACTCAATGAACTATTTGGGCTTTTCAACAAATTAACTTTTGAGAAATTGCTTCTTGCTGAAGTTATTTGTATTGGTCGTAAGAAACAGAAAAAGTGACATTTAACAGATTAAATATAAAAATCCTCTGAGTTTGAGGTATGAATGTAACACTTTTCTTGAAAATGAAATAGTTTATATAAGTTAAATAATGTGCATTATAAAGTGAATTTATGACAAAAAATGAAACACCTGTCTTGCCAGTGACAGATGTAACCTATTTTCTACCATTCATTAATTAGAACAAATAGAGATAGAGGATAGTTTTCTCTGTGAAGAGAAGTAAACTGATAAATGATTGTAGTATTTCATCATGTAATCCACAGCATGATAAATTAAGAGTGCCAATGCTATCTTGGACTCAAGTGGGCATTCAGTTAGTCCAGAGAATTTTGAACTACCAGTCCTATGTGTTTGTAGGAGTCAACAGATTATATTAGAAAACAATCAATAGCATCTTCCATAAGTGACCAGGATTTGTTCATATGTGCCGAAAGAGCTAACAGCAAGAAATGGTTACTAATACCAATGTTTGGGGAAGATGTTGTTACAAGCATGCTGTAAAATTGCAACATGTGAAATAAGATACTTTTCCCAATCATGTCATTTTTTGGAAATTATTGGGGTCTTGAAAGGTAAGATAATAAAACAAGAGCGGCATTAAATGTTTTTCTGTTGTCGCACTATTTGCTACCTCAATGGAAGTTTTCTTGAAAATTTCCCCTCCAGAATACAATTCTTAAGTACAAATTAAAATGTTTATGGCTATCATAGGTAGTCAAATCAATGCTTCACGAAGGGAGTACAATAATTTTCAAGTTATATAAAGGAACATTTGAAATATAGCTCCTTAAAATAATTAGCCTTTGTTTCTTCAAACTGAGGAATTGTCACAAAGATCAAATTTACCTTTGGAGCTTTTGCTTTTGTGGTTTATATCACTACTGGCTCTACTTCTTTTAATAACCTTAATCTAGATAAGAGATTAAATCTACCTGTCCGAATGGATGGATTGGATACATGTGGCTGAGTGCCATTTAAACAGACCATAAGCTGCTAAATGAAAAGGGGGAGAAAACGGGAGAAAATTGCATACTGTTAACTATTTAGAAACAAAACCTGTGCTAAGTAAAAAGAAAATGGAAATTGGGTCTTTGCTGTATATCAAGATGTTTGATGACTATTAAGCTGGTATAATATAACTATAATAAATGTTATATAATTATGACATAAGAAATTTCCAAATTAATTTGTTCTCTTAATTTCCCAGAACCAGTTGTAAATGTAGATATTGATATTATACAGTTCATTTAAGTCAGTCAATACCTTACTCAAATTTTACAAATAAAATGCCTTACCAAATGCTCATTATTTTAGTTTTCCGTCTTTTTTGGAATAGTGGTTAAAATATTGCATGCTATGTGACTTTAGACTCAATTTTTTTTTAACACTTGCCATGTCTTATTGGAGAAATGAATACAACTAAATGAAAATTCTATCATTATATAAATATTAAGTGGAAAATTTTGTAGGGAGAATAAGAAATAACAAATAACTACTATTTTAAGATTCTAAGGACATTATGTAAAATAAATTTACTTACTTATAAATAGTAGGAAGTGTTACACCTGACTCAGTAATCTTTGAGATTATTGCTAAACTATTTTTGATAGTATATTTTATGAGTTTGATTATGTTATGTATGCTATCATAATACAAATGGACATTTTTGAACAGCTGATGCTCCCTTGAGAGAAGCCTATGACTAAATAGGACCCAGTTTGATCCATGGTGTCAATGAAAACAAGTTATTTATAAAGATGAATCCCACTTTTAAATCTATGTATTTATATTTATATGGCATTTTGTAAAATATTCACTATAATTCTTGAATAAAAAAAACTCTGAAAAATGTAGCCATACTCTTGGCATTGTCTTCTGCATGTTTTTAGGTAATCTCCTGAATTTAAGTGTTTCAGGGTCATTTCAGAATATCGACTGAAGAATCATATCTTCTGCCATGCAGTATGGTTTAAGTGGTAATTGAAATAGTTGTGAGTCTTAAACTATAAAAGTTATAATCTCAATAAACACAATGAACATAAGAAAATGTGTAAAATGAAATTCTGACACACTAGGAAATGGATATTAAATAAACTGAGACATTCAAGTGACAAAGTGATATTCTACCACCAACATGAAGCTGAACTAGAGATTTTACCATGTAGCTTATGGTGTTTTCCAGGATAGAGTTTAGCGTAACTTTCCTATCCACATTTGTGATATAAAGATTGCTCAGGTACTTTGTAAAGCATACTGTTACATTTTACTGAATAACTGATTGACTTTTTAAAAAATTTTACAGTGGGAAGAAATTAGTGGTTTGGATGAGAATTATACTCCGATACGAACCTACCAGGTATGCCAGGTTATGGAACCCAACCAAAACAACTGGCTGCGGACTAACTGGATTTCAAAAGGCAATGCACAAAGGATTTTTGTAGAATTGAAATTCACCCTGAGGGATTGTAATAGTCTTCCTGGAGTACTGGGAACTTGCAAAGAAACCTTTAATTTGTACTATTATGAAACAGACTACGACACTGGCAGGAATATAAGAGAAAACCTCTACGTAAAAATAGACACCATTGCTGCCGATGAAAGCTTTACCCAAGGTGATCTCGGTGAAAGAAAGATGAAGCTTAACACTGAGGTGAGAGAGATTGGACCTTTGTCCAAAAAGGGATTCTATCTTGCCTTTCAGGATGTAGGGGCTTGCATTGCGTTGGTTTCTGTCAAGGTCTATTACAAGAAGTGCTGGTCCATTATTGAGAACTTAGCTATCTTTCCAGATACAGTGACTGGATCAGAATTTTCCTCTTTAGTTGAGGTCCGAGGGACATGTGTCAGCAGTGCCGAGGAAGAGGCGGAAAACTCCCCCAGGATGCACTGCAGCGCGGAAGGAGAGTGGTTAGTGCCCATTGGAAAGTGCATCTGCAGAGCGGGCTACCAGCAAAAAGGAGATACTTGTGAACGTAAGTGACCTGTGCTACGAAAATTCTACTTTTTTTTTTTTTTTTTTTTGTATTTGAGTATCAGGCATTTTAAGTAATAATGGTAATCTGCTTCATCCCAGCTGTTGAAGTCAGTAAATGTTAAACAATGTCATAGGATTTAATGATAATGATTGCCTACAGTGGTATGCAGTAACTGCTGCTGCTAATGATACCTGTTAATAGGATTTAATTTGTCCTTTTTATCATGTTGGTTTATATGGAAGGCGATGGTTGCTTTTGGGGCTACAGGCTTTCGGGATGGACAGCAGACAGGTCTGCATTATCCTGGGACGACTGAAGTGACAGTAATCAGAGATGTGATTCCTTCCATTCTTGAGCCCACACTGTGTGGAACTTTCAGTAGCAGAAAACTGAAGGTTAAGGGTTCTGTTAACATGAGCTCTACTGACAGGCAGAATGCAAGGAAATACATTTACAAATTTTCCGATTATCTTTTAGAAAAGAATCCAATTTGAATTTAAAAAATCATAAAGTTTTACTAATAAATTTCTGCAAAGGCTGCCATTGTTCTCTGGATTCCACATTATGTGGGTTCTTCTGATAAGCCACATTGTGGAGGACCATATTTTTGTGGAGGTGGGCCAAAGTGAAGGTGTAACTACGGGCCAGAGATCAGTCAGGTATTTCCTCTTTGTTTTGAAACAGTAATAGAAAATCAATTAGGAAATCTTTCTCTTTATTTGGAAAAACTGGATTTTCTCTAGCATATCATTATGTGGTCAAAGAACTGGACACTATATTGTTTTAAACAATGTAGCCTGAGTCTTCAAGATGGGTATCTGTGTTTTGTCATTTCTATGTGATGAATAATACAATAAAGTTACATGGCCGATGCTGTACTTATTATTTATAAAGCATCATACAGCCCTCAAAATGAGTTATGTATTTGCTGCTCTGATAAAACAATTGCATAATTTTAGTATTTGCAATTCCTGGTTAGGTTAGGTGGAATGAAAGCTAGCAATAGTGTCCACAACTAAATTTTCCTGATCACTTTCTATGTTTATACATTTTTCCATGTGCTTTGCATAGATTAGCCCATTTAATAAAGTAGGTTTCACTCTCATGTCTATTATTTGAGTCTTTGGAAAACAGTTTGCTTGCAGCTACTTAACTAATATTTGTCTTAGTTTAATTTAAAGTCTAACACACTCTGACCTGGACTTGCAGCACTGGTATTGCACTAGTTAATGTCAAAACTCCAACTACTCATTTTCACTTCTTGCACGCTGCATATTTATATATACAGCACATTTCTTACCCATCCTCGTTATGGTAGAATCTTTATAAGAGAACTAACTTTAAAAATGTTTAGATCTATGATGTGGTTTTTATTTATATATGGCCCTTTAGATTTTGAAAAGTTGCTGCTCTAAATTGATAAGTGCTCTGAGTGTAAATTACACGCTGAATTTCGAAAGCATAGTACAAAAAAAGAAATTTAGCACATATAATTAGCAATTTTTAAACATTTGCTAAAAGCTGAAATCATTTTAGTTATATTTGTCACATTTATATAGCCCTAAAATTAATCTCAACTGTTTCTTTTTACTTTTAGTGTAGCTACACATAATTTCAAAATCATATTTGTGACTCATGCTGTATTTCTATTGGATGCACTTCTTAGATTGAGTAAGTGAGCAAATATATTTTTCTATCCTGTTTGGAGATTTCAGTACTTCACTCTCATTTTGATACTGCAAGGGCCCCTGAGCATATGAAGTCCTTATAGCTCACCACTCAGTTGTCTACACACTAGTGGATAGTGTAAGCAGATTCTGGCAAAGCAAGTGCAGATGCTGGAGGGTAAGGTGCCTTTAAAAGTGTGTCAACATCCTTTTGTGTCTCCTTAAAGGAGTTCAGTCTGTCTCCTGCTGCCTTCTTTCTTCATTCCTAACTGTCAGTGTACTCTTGGTACTCAAGTAAAAAATTCCTGAGGGTCCAGGTATGTGACAATTAAAAGTTGTTAAGATTCAACGCTAACATTAGGCAGGATACTGTTCCCCCAGCTCAGTATAGGAATCTTCCTAGGGCACTGGCCAACTGAATGCAAGATATTCTTACTGACTAAACCTTAGTAACGGTTACCTGAAAGGAGTGGTGAATTGAATGACATCTACTTTTTAGTGATTTTTAAGTGCACTCTTTTGCTGTATTTATTTATTTTCTCATTGACATTATTGAAAATCAATAATTATATAGCATATTAAAATTGTAGACAAATATTGAAATGTGGAAGATATAAGATGTAGACAGAGTGAATTTTAGAAAAATATTTCTGAAATGAATACATGGCATGAGATTAATAATAGATTGCACATTGTAACTAAATTATTTACAAGCTTAAATGTTTATAACAATAAAATTTGTCCAAAATAAAAATGAAGAAGAAAAAATCTACAGATCATCATATAATAGTTCACTCTGTGCCAAAATCAAGAAAGTTATATTCATATAATTAGAATTCTCGAAGTAGGTAGGCAAAATATATAAAGATTTAGAATTTATGAATTTACTTGAAATTATGGTACTATATTTCCAAGAAAAAGGAGTCTTTTGCACAAGAAATATGAATAAAATCATACTAAGATACACAAAAATGAAATTGTCCAAAATTAATTGTAAAGAAAAAGTCATTAACACGTATACATAAAAAAAAATTAGCTGTGAAAGGATAAAATTAAATAACATCTTATTCCATATTTAAAAAAAAAAAAAAAGAGCAAGTGGGTTCAGTGTCACACTTCAACTGTGAAAGCAGCCCTTGTAAAGATGCAGCTCTCATTTAATGTGGAAGTGGAATTTAAAAAGGTCACACATAAAGGGGAAAACAAGATACAAAATGAAATCCATATAAAATTGCACAATTAAATTTACCTGAAAAGCCTAGGAAATCACATCAAAGATTCTACTCTGTTAAGATTTCATGATTTTAATGAAAATTATAGTATTTTTTCTTCATTTTATGCAATTTAGCTCAAATGATTTCTACATTCATTTGTTCAGCAAAAAGCTAAGAGGAAATATCTGAGTTCTATATATTTAAATAGAGAAAAGTAAGATACCCAACCTTTAACCATAGTAAGCAGGTATATATACAATGAGAAAATAAATATCTTTGCTTCTTTCAAATGAGCAAATTAGTCCTGTTGAATGTGGTTTTTAAAATGAATTCTTTTGCTTTTCAGAACTAAAACAGCACTGGAGTACCAAAACCATTGTCACTTGTAAACTATGCTATCATATCTAAAGATAAAGTAAAACAATGACTGTCATCTAGATTAATCTGCCTTGGAGTAGAATTATGTATCAATAATAAGAGTTCATTTAGAAAATATGATCAGGGATGGGCAGATAGCTCAGCAGTTTAAGTGCCTGCCTGGGAAACACAAGGACCTGGGTTCAATCCCCAGTACTGCACACCTGCTGTGATGTTCACTGAAACCAGGCTTGGTGATGTACACCTGTAATCCCAGCACTGGGAAGGCTGAGACAAGAGGATCACTATGAGTTCGAGCTGTGTAGCAAGACCCTGTAACAAATGAATAAATAAATAAGATTTAAAAAAATCTTTAAAAAAAGATGCACAAAAGAGGTCATAAACCTCCTTATAGTTCTTTGTATGTGTAATGTTGTAAGTTAAGTAAATTCTATAAGACATAACTTAATTTTTAGCCTTGATTATGTTGACAAAGGAATCAAACACCTTATAGTTAACCATGGCACTGTTTCATTTGCTAAAATGCTTCCCTCTCTGGCCTGAAGCCAGTGTACTGCTGCAGGCTTGCTTCCTTCGAGATGCGGTCCAGGTCTGCCTTGATAATATTCCTCCTGTCTCCTTTCAATGATTCTGGTAAAGGAGTTTGAAAACAAATCTAGTCCCGTATTGAGGAAAACAAATGTTTTGAGAAAGGGTGCTTCTGAGTTCCCAGCTGACAGCGGGTGGCTATCCACTTAAATTCCAGTTTATCTGGACACTTTCTACAGTGGCAGCCCATTGTGGGGTGTTTTAGAAAATAATTTCAATTATGAATAATGATGGAAACTGAACATAGTTTTGATTGATTCATAGAAGAGCTCTTTTCTCATAAACTTCAAAAAATAAATTCAGTTTGGAAGCCAAAATTCTCAAGCCTATTAATATCTGGAGAATTTCTCTCTAATTCTTAAATAAAGTATTTTTATGAAAATTGCTTTTCATGGTAATTTTCAAATATATAATTCACACTAATAGACTTTTATTTTTATAATTACTTTTTAAAAATTTTCCTTCCAGTTTTAACTTTAAGTAAATTTGATATATTTTCTTAGGTAAATAAGTAGAGTTATAAAAAAATCTATAACATATATTTTATATATACAACACATATTTTGAAATAACTAATAACATTATGTATAGAAATGCATTTCTATATTTTACAATGTTTGTATAATTTGTTTTCATTTAGAAATTAGGATAGCATATGTCCCAAGTATGGCTCTGGGTAGGATTTGTAGAATTACTTTTCAATATATACTGAATTGCCATGTGCATTTTCTCACTTATTTCTTGTCGCATCACTAAGAGATGGAAAGTATTACTTCCGTCTCTTTCTTTTTCAATGTAGGAAGAAACTGAAGTTCAGAAGTGGTAATAAGGAATAAAATTAGATGGCAATCTAGAGTCTTAATTATCAATTTTTCTCTTGTACCTAGAATTCCACACTTCACCCTTTAAATTACATAGGAGTTCTCCCAAAGATTTTAGTCAGTGAATGAATAATGGAACTACAATTCAAGTGGCATGACCATATGCTCCATTTGCCTGGGATAATGTTTGACTTGTTACCATTACCTCTTTTTGCTCTCAAACATGTTCTTTCTGATCTAATTGATAAAATATGTGATCATCCTAATTGTAAAATGGTAAGAATATAATCAGCTTCACATGCATTTCTGTTGCAATATAGAGATGTGAT